GCCATTAAAACTTTTTGAATAAATACAGTGTGTTCAATAACAATTAATAATTTTAATAACCTTGTCAAAAAGTTAATTACTTTTAATTACAACTCTTTATATAAGGGTGTAGACGAGATTATCCATTGATATCATAATGTTCATAGATATGGATAAATGTCTTAAAAATCGTTTCATATGTTTAACTGGTGTAAAATTAAACATAAAGATTGATAAACTATTTTTTGTTAGTAAAATGCAAGCCCGTTGAAAATGGTGATAAAATGATCTTTTTTGCTTTTTTGTCCGTAAACATAACACCCCCACCCCCTCCCCCCGCGTGAAACAGCAAAAGATTTGGTATGAATCTAAAAAATAACAATTTTTAATACCTGTAAAACAATGTTTCAAGGGAGGAAGGATAAAAATATTTTCCGCTTCTCATTGTTTTCGAAAGTGAAAAACAAGTTTTACCAAAATAATAGATTTGTCTCTCTTTCTTTTCCCAAATTAGTTATATTGCTTAAAAATCCATATAAATATCTATATAAATACCAAAACTAAATCAATCAAACAGATTTTACTTTTGAAAAATGACTGGAGGTCGAGGGACAGAGCAGTACTGTAGTTCTTTGAGAATTGATCGCATCGTAATGTTGAAATCCTTACTATTTTGAAGATATTATTTTGTTATATAAACTCGTAAAAATGTTTATATAATCTTTTCATTATGTTACAAGCCGTCTTGGTCATCTTTTTATGTTTGTTGCTATTGACAATGTCGGGGAGTATCTTTATAAAACTGGGTTAACATTAGAATTCTTATATATATATATATATATATATATATATATATATATATATATATATATATATATATATATATATATATATATATATATATATATATATATATATATATATAATTGTTTGAACTATATTTAGAAGAATGCTAATGTTGTTTGATTAAATTGATTTAGGCAATTTATTAAAAAGGTTTACTCTTGGTTTAAGTTGAAGAAGGATAATTGTTTGAGAATGTTTAAGTGCTATGCTATTCGAATCTTTGATTTCTTAATATTAAACTGAGTAATCTAATCTGCCAATTTCCGTGCAATAGCAAAAATATTTTAAATAGAAACTAAAGATGAAGGAGGGCGCTGGGGAAAGTTTGTTTTTTATAACACTTAGAATATTTGAATAAAAGTTTTTTCAATGCCTCTGCCTTTTCTGACAGGCATGAAGTAAATATTGATATTATGATTAGTGCAAAAAAATTACAAGCACGTACTTTATAGAAGATCGTATCCCTGACTGATATTTTAGTTTCAAAGAGGGAGGTTCACTAACTCCATAAAATGGCCCTGTCCATATACCAATAAACTGACAATGTCGCAATGCCCCATTCAGAACATCAATATAATGTAGAGAATTCGTGTTTTCATTTCCAATAAAAAAGAGCAAGGGCCACTTAGGGCCTTTTCTGGCCCTGTAAATTTCTGAAAAATTAAATCTGCATAGTTTTAGTCGACAAGGCAATAAATATCACGTGAACACTTGGTGACTGAATTTCTACTAAAAATGACGTAATTTTCTTGATAGTCAATGCATTATGACGTCATGAATTGCGTCATTATTATTCACATATCCTGAATATTTCTTCAAAAATGGCCAAAATATGATGCTATTTTTCAATATTTCGTATACAGCACAACCTCCGATCCAAAGTGTGCAAATATATTACGAAATAACTGCTTCTTAAGATTATAAAATATATTTCAGTTTTTGGATCGAGGGGTGTGCTCATATTTTATTTTTTTTGTTGAAGGTTCTTAAATTCACCTATTTTCTGCAAAACTCAAGAACATTGCAATTTCGCACAACCTGTTTTCGAGTACGTTGACTCTTTAGAGGAAACTTTTATATACAAACTGAAAGCGACAAGTCTCTACTTCATATTGAAGTTGAGAAAGGGACATAGTGTGTTAGAGGATAAATGGGTTTATCTACAGGGCCATTTTATGCATAAAGTGAACCTAGCTCTTTCCCCCTAAGAGTCAAGGTATTGAAAAACAGACTTTGTGAAACTGAAATTTTCTTGAATTTTGAAGAAAATCAGTGTATTTGAGCATCTTCAACTAATAATTGAAATATGAGCCCACCCTGCGATCAAAAAAAAAAAAAAAAAAAAAAAAAAAAAAAAAAAAAAATTCATGCATTCAAATCTTCTGAAACAGTTCTTTCAATATTTAATTAAACATTTTTGATCAGAGGTCGGGGGCTATGTAACATATAAAAAAAGCTTACATTTTTAGCCATTTTTAAAGAAATTTTCAAGATCTGAGGAAAACATGACATCATAATACATGGTCAAGAGAAAAAATACGTCATTTTTAATTGACATGCAGTCACCAAGGGTTCAAGTGAAATATAACATATTTTCAACTAAAACTGAGCAATTCTGATATTTTCAGAAAATCACAGGGCCAAAAAAGACCCTAATTAAACCGTCTTCTTTATCAGTATAATTCAAGTTATGATTGAATTAAAAAAATGAGCACCAAACTGAATTTGTTTGGAAAAATTCAGCTACTTATAACATGTTTTTCGCTTATATCATCATATTGCACATGCGTTCTAGTTTAAAATCCTGAAGTGACAATAGAATAGACAATTGGATTAAAAAGTTTCAGAATTTTTATTAGTAAAATTTCTTTTGAAAAAAAGAATATATGATTTCACCTTAAAAGACACTCTAAAATACATAATCACAAGAAAATTTGGATTTTTATGCTTCAAAATGGTAATAGGGGTATAAATGATTAAATTTAGAACTTGAATATCCTCTCTTGTATATATGAAAAAACTGGGGTTTTTTTATTGTTATTTTACATTATTTTTACAATTCTGGTTTGAAACGTTCTAATATGATAAAAATGGAGCAATAAAATTCCCAAAATTTAGTTTTTTGTCCGTTCAAGTCAATTCTTTACATTTAAGACAAAAAAGAATTTTTTATTCGAGTTCTCTTTTTTTAAAAAAAAAAAAAAAACTAGACTTTGAAGTGACCCTATGATACATTATTGTTTTGCACTCCTGACATTTGATATGTGTTTTATTTAACATTGTTTTAAAAATTATAACACACAATAACCCATTCTTACTTTGTAAAACAATTTGTCGTTTTGATATTTTTCATCGTTTACAGCATGTTTTTCATATTTTGAAGACCTTAAAACATTATTATTTACATAGTGTAATATATATAAATTGTATTTAAAAATACGTGAAAGGATGAAAACTAATTTCTGAATTGACTGTAAAATTTCTGTAATTTGCTGATATAGTGTTTTGAACATCAAATTGTATCAAACATTTTTTTCAAGTTATTTTTTAGTAATTATGGTTAAAAAGTATTGGTAATTATAAAGCAGTTTTATTGCACTCCTGACCGCAAGAAAATTTAAAATTAAAACCATAGAACGCAAAAATAGAAAACAAAGTGTTGGCAGCATCAAGTAGTAATGAAATTGTGCAATATTTATAGTCCAATACTTCATAATTAAAACAGATGAAAGTATTTAAAATTTGCATTTTATCCCTATTTATGCCAAAAACTAGCTGAAATGTATGTTTATAGGATAAAATATATTTTAAAGCATATTTTCCTTTAGAGGACAAACACAGTAACCCACCAGAAAAATTCTACTCATCGATTTTTTTCTTCATTTTTATTCTTATTGGATGATTTATACTTCTAACATATTTGTTGCACTCCTGACCAAAAGCAATGTGGCCATAAAAGTAGAATTGTGAAGTGAAAATTACATAAGAACTTCTTCTGTTGTTTCAGTGAAGTTGAGAAGGAATTATTTGAATTTTATGACAATTTTTTAGTGTGTTTATTTTTAACATCCATTAAAAAATCGCAAAAAAGATAAAAACACATCTGAATTGTTAAAAATTGAAAAGAAGGATTTAGTAATAAAACTGTCATTAATTTAGTATTAAATTATACAAAAAGATCATTATTAATTAATGAATACTTTTAAGCATGAATAGAAGTGTTTTCGTCACACAACTTGAAAAAAAAATGTTGCACTCCTGACCATAAAAATATAGATATGAAGCACAGACAAATCCTGCAATTGATAAATCTATTTGGTAAAAATTTTCTTTTTGTCTTAATTTTCCAAAATAAAAATCAGGAAATCGTATAATGGTAAAAGTTTTTTTCATGCTTGGGAGCAAAACATCAAATGTTGCACTCCTGACATTATTGGATATGCACATATACTTGACTCTCATTAATGCTGCTTGTGAGATACATGACATTTGTAAGTCTTAAAATGTATATCAGTTATTGTTTTACACTTCGAAAATTCTTTTTTTGTTTTAATTTTCTTTCAGAATTCTACAATTGATGTTTTTTTTTTTTTTTTTGGGCAACACTACATTTTTTCTCTTGCACTCCTGACATCGTAAAACATTTTTTAAACATCATCCATGACCACAACTTGATTAAACAAAAGCTCAATACTTTAAATATTATCAGGAAAGTCTTTATTTTCAATATAAAGCATTATTATTCAATTCACAGATCTCCCAAAAATATTGAAATTTCAAAATGTTACAAAAAGGTGTTGCACTCTTAACATTTTAGCTTCATTTTAGGCATAACTTTTTTGTTTTATAAAGACATATGCAGAGACATAGAAATCTATTTTCATTGCCTGTATTTTTAATGTGGGTTGATAAATATGCGTTTGGTCTTTTTTTTTTTTTTTTTTTTTTTTTTTTTTTTTTTTTTTTGATAGAATATAGAATTGAGAAGAAGAATTATTAAAGGTGTGTCTATACTCAAGGGGGCTGAGATCCTTCATTTCAGAAAAAAAAATCCTGTCAATCAAAAAGTGGATGACCAATCATATGTTACAATACCTTCATCTTAATCAATATCTATCAATAAATAAAGATGGGATGCTCTCCTCTGTCTATCTGTTAAACAACACTGAGTAATGATGCAAGCATCAAAGGTAGGAGAATTTATTAGAATATGTTCAATTAAAAGAAATATATAATTCACCAAATTAAAACTTTTCTCAAAATGTATGACGATAAGATTTGAAACGTCAGCAGCATTTTTTTTTATATTTAGGTCCTTAAAAATGTCCTTATATTCATGTATTTTAGAAGGAATTTTAGATGAAAGGTGAGGTTTTTCCGATTGTAAATGAATCTTTATTTTTCTTTTTCTTTTTTTCTGAACGTGCATTTGATTTGATTTTCTGAATTACATGCACTCTTTATTTCTTCATATAACAGGTTACCTGTGTAGAATTTTGTCCAAGCAGGTCTTCCCTTTTGAAAAAAAGTTATAAATTAGAATGAAATAGTGCTAGATGTGAAAGAGAATTTAAAATCGAAGATACATGAGCCATTATCTATCATCAGAAGTTTGTTCTTATAAAACTGATGCAACTTCGTGTCAGTTTGCTTAAATATTGCACTCGCTGGTAAACAAGATTACAAACAAATGTAAGCATGAGCAGTTTATCTAATCTGATGAGTAGCTACAATAATCTAATTACATTTTTTAATGAAATTAGATGAAGTTGAAGAAAAAAATCGATTATTTCACAATTATATTTTGAATAGGCTGAAATTATGTAAAAAAGTTTATTATAATGTAAACATTACTCTTTATTTTTAGATGTTTCTAGTCTTAATGATCATGTATGCTGCTGGTGAACTTTCAGTGTCACTGTCAGTGCAGTCAGAAGGATATTGTAAGTAAAAGTTCAAAATTACAAAGAGAAAGAGAGAAAGAGACGATATTTTCTGATTTTCTTTAATTGCATTTCGTCATCTCTTCTCGAAATTGTCTAAAAACATTTGATTTAACTGAATGAACTATAAATCTTCTTAAGATAACAATAGATCTTTACACAAAAGTATTGTATTTCATCTATATCTTTTGCATTGAGATTCAATGAACTTTTTAAATTGATCTCACACAAAAATATTCTACTTCACTAATGATTTTTGCATAAAAAATGAAGCTCTAAAATTACTGGGAAACGTCTTGTTTTCAAATCTTAAGTTTGTATGTGTTTTCGTTAAATTGAAGGAAATTGAATGTATGTGAAATTTACGAAAGGATCGATGTAAACAAAAAAAGTTTGAAATATGTAGAAATATTATTAAAAAGAAAGAAATACGTTCTTGTCCACAGTTGTTTTATCCCTCGAATATCAAACAAATAATGAATCTTCATAACACTGCTTTCTCGCCCCTTTTTAAATGCAGAATTTTACCTTTTCAAATCTGAACATTGTGATATTATATTTCAAGCATAGTCTGTATAGATACTCATAAAAGATTTTTTGGGAAAGAGAATTTCAATACAAACATTATATCGATTAAATAAAATCGTATACTTCACTGTAAAATCCCGGTTTCTCCATTACAGCTATGTAGGTCATTGTATTATTTGAATGAGAAGGCGGAGGGTCTATCAAGCGTATGAATACATTAGAGTGTGTTCGAGGTGTACCAAGTTTTATGATTAACTGACACCTAAAACCCCTCTTTTTTTCTTGCTAGAGACCGACGAAATGCAAACATACATTTTTAACTTGGCAAGCTTAACTTTGATTTGTTTTCCTGCTTAAGTTACGAGTTGTATTTGAAATGGTTTACTAGAAAATCGTTAAATAATTTACACATTAAATACACAATGGAATTTGTAAACAGAACGTATGACGAAGGATACACTATTTTTCATTCTTAAAAGGCACCTTTTCTTAAAAGAGATAATTAAGCTTATTACATAATAAGAATTTATTTCATACATATATATAATTTTGGAAAACCCGAGTGCTACAACAAATACACGTAGAATTGAATTATAAAAAATAAATCGTTAAGAAAGTGAAAATTAAAAAGTCAATAAAACGTCAGTATCATCGCTGGTGGATAAAGAAATATCAATGTCAGTGTATTGCATTGTTTCAAAAACTCCTGTTTATTCATGCCAGACATAATATGATTTCATTTAGGAATTCATTAATTGTCGAAATCCACTCCTGTACATTTTGATTTTAACAAACTCTCCCTGACGTAAGATAAATAATAAATCACTCTAAGGTATTGTCGTGTACTAATTATTGAATTATTACAAATTTAGATAAAGAGTCATTATTTGAGTACAGGACAGTATTTTAACGCCCTTTTTCATTCGACTGATTTTTTTTACTACAAGCCCGTAGACCACGGGGTGCCATCCCCCCCCCCCCCCCACACACACACACACTTTTGTCTGATTATAGTTTCTGCTGTAGTAAATTTTCCTTTAGATGCTGGTTGCCCCAGCCCCCACTATTTGATGTTGTAAAGTCGAGCACTAGCAAATTACAGGATTTGGATAGTAAGTTAGCTCTTCTTTTCGCTTTTCAGATAATTTTTTGAAGTTGCCCCCACCCCCACTTTTGGTCGGTGTAGGTTTTCTTTTTTTTTCTAACTTATTTTTGATTTTTGCCTGTCAGATTTTTTTTTGGGGATGTTGCCCCCCCCCCCCCCACACACACACACACACTTTTGAAACTGTTGCTAGGGGCCTGTACTAATATCTAAATCTTTAATTATACGTTGATCGGAAATGTAAACGTGTCATACAAGTGCATTTTCATGATTTTTAACATTATGCTTTAAAAATACCTGCGAACACGGACTTACGAGGGTTGTTCGGAAAGGTCGTTGACTTCTGTCATATCTTTTTTTATTTAACGTCATATCATATCCAAATTTGGTAGAAATATTTTAACAATTAATTCACATAATTTGTATTTAAATTTTTTTAAAATATCTTGATTTATTTCAAACTTATTAGGAGTAAAAAAAACTGCAAAAATTGGTTCGCGGAGCAAGTCAAAATTAGTAATTTAAAAACAATACACTAATTAATGACTGTAGTCATGTCCTCTGTAAAAAGGCTCAAAACCAAAATAAATCTAGACGATCAAATTCAGAATTGTTACATCGTTTCATATTCCAAACTAGCACTTAATAGTTTGCTTCATGGAACAGAAATTAATTTCTGAAGATAGGTAGTCCTCATTGAAAAAGGCAAAAAAGGTGACGTCGTAAAACGTCACGGAGCAGCAGTTTACGATACAATTTTCTGTTGTACTCTGGAAAACGTCAGAATAAAATCTGAAACTGTAATAGGAAGCATGAAATATCTCAAAAGCGGGTCATGCGTGTGTAAATGGCCCAGGCGGTATTTGAATGATAGAGAATCTGTATCAGACGAGGACGATCTGTGAGAAAACGGATTATCTGTAAAGATTCAACCCAAAAAGATTCAGTTAGTAAGGTCTTGGGGAGAGAAAGGCGTTTCACGGTTGCTGGTCTTGTGAAAGCATAGTTAAGCGGTAAAAAAGAAAACATTGACAATCAAAATTATGCAACTTGAACAATTGTTAGCAAAATGAATTTCAATTGATACGTACACGTTTTAAATGAGCAGATATTGGACAAGACTGCGTGAAAAGTATAGGAAGAATATTTTGAGAACCTCATGACGCTTTATTTTTGACGTTTTAATGTTTTTAGTTTGCTCCGGGGCTATCAAACAAATTGATTTTAAAATAAAGTAAATCGATTTCTATTAAATCGAATGGAATGAAACTTCACACATCAACAAAATAAATATTTTTACATATGATAATGTGCTTACATTAAATTTCTTGAAAGTAGTATAACGAGGATTGACATTGTCCACGAACTTTTCGAACAACCCTCGTATAAATAAAAATATGTAAATTTTGATATTTGATTTTTATCAATGTATAGATTGCAAAATGAAACTTCATTTAGGAAATAAATAACAATTTTAAAAACTTCACTGGGAAATGAAGTGGGTCGGTCACGTGATCAAATCTTGTGAATGCCGAAGGCCTTCTCAGAACATTTGATCACGTACCTACCCACTTCATTTCCCAGTGAAGTTTTTCAACTTATTATTTATAATGCAAGTGAGTTAAGGTAAGTATAGACGTTTCTATGAAAATGAACTAATTAAAACGCATAAGGGCTAAACTTATTATGCAGAAAAGGTTAAAACTTATTTTCTAATGAAAACTTTGTACCCGCGACAAGTAATAGCCAGTACACATTATGACGTCATATTATGACGTCATTGCTCTCTACTACACAAAGTTATAAAGAACATTAACAAAAAAGCTTCGGCGCAAGGGCATAACCTATTTATTTTTAAAGAAACAGGGTATAATTAGAAGCAGAATATTACAAGGATTTGTGATATTGCTGCACAAATGTCGACCAATCAATTGTTTAGTTACTATTTGTAAAGTTTTGAGTTGATATGGGGTAAAAATTCACAGTCCAGTATTAGTTTACTCAAATTTTTATCAAACGAGAAAATGCATAGGATTTGTGCAGCACTTTTATTAATCTTTAGAATATTCTTCGTAGAATTATACTTTATTTACTTAAAATTAAATAGGGTGTGCCCTTGCGCCAAAGCCGTTTGTTGATGTGTTTTATTACTTTGAGTAGTAAAGAACAATGACGTCATAATATGACGTCATAATGTGCACTAGCTCTAACATGCCTTGGGAACTAAGTATGTATAAGAAAATGAATTAAAGCTTTCTCTGTATAATAAATATACCTCTTTTGCATTTTTATTAGCTCATTTGCATAGAAACGCCTATACCTAGCCTTAAATCACTTGCGAATTAAATTACATATACATTTGAGACGAACAATCGAATATAAATATTGCCTTAACTGTCTGCCGTAGATTTTGATAAAATTAGGCATTGGAAATCGGCTTGAAAAGCGGTTACGCCTCGAATTCAACTGGCAAAGGATTCTGTTTTGATGGGAATATTTTGTGAAAAGCTACGTTTGATCAATAATAGTACACATATTGTTGTCCGGGAATTTTTTGTATTCGTGAGAACCGATATTCGATGTTGAAAAGGCACAAGAAACGCGTCCGATGTTTGATTATAAAAAGTTGGAGGAATTTCGGTAGGAAATGTATGGATAAAGACTATAGTCCGAGCCAGTTAACTTGAAATCAAGCTGAACTTTATTAATTTGACCAAACACATTATATCTACAATTTTAGTTAGGCATATCTATTATGAGGCAGACTCAGAGACACAGGTGACAGCTTACGTTGTTAAGACAACGCTTTTGACGATGAACGTGTGCTTACCGAAATGTTTGTGGCGTGAATTCATTGATATTTTCCAGCAAATTTGTAAATTTATTGTAAGTAAAGTTTATTGAAGAAAAAAAAATTGAATACCATTCAGACTTTATGATGAAGTTGAAACTAAAGGTCTACCATGTCTACAGAAAAATAAGAATAAACGATGAGACCGTAGAGGCTGACATAAAACTTATAACACGTAGTTTATTATTCTTTCTGAAAACTCGCCAAAGAACTGGATTAAATACTTGATTAAATAAAACGATTACATGTATTATTTTACTTGCGTATTTTGTACATTGTTGTACATGAAAAGCATGGTATAACTGCAAAGTAGAGCAAGTCACTTTACGTAGATATTATTGCACAGTGTGATTAGGTCAAGTAATGACCTATGACTTTTAAAAAACTTCATACAGGTCTGAAAAAAATTGCTCTCTGAATGTCTATATAATAGAGAGATACTACAAATATATTTGATTTAAATAAAGATGCTATATCAACTTTATCGGTGCATTTTTAAGCGTATAGGATGATGAAACTTCACGCAGGTATTTTATGCTTGGACCAAGCGAACTCTGTATCTTTTGCAAGATGAATTTCAACTCTTAAAATGGTTAAAGCATGCTTAAGTTGAAACTAATATAAAGAAAATCCTTTTAATAACAAAGTTATTTTTCTCAAAGGGGTTAAATTTGTTGAACGATTGAATCACAAGTAAAATGAAAAGCAATGATGATTTGAAGACGGAGTGAAGACAGATAACGGGTGTTAGGAAGCAAATATTATGTATGCAATTCATAACTAATAAATAATGTTGACTAATCAGGTATGCTGTTTTATTTTTATGAAAACAAGAAGCCGTGTCATTCTCCTGGTCGGAATTTCAAGAAGCGCAAAATGATAAATATAATAGTCAACGTTGTTTCAGCGAACATGGTTTTATGAACATCTGCTCTGCAGACGCACATCCCAAAGGACGACATGTTATATGTCTGTAGAGCAAATTTTTTGATACGACATCGTTTATATCTTACTTCTTAACGAAGAAAGGGTGAGGTAAATTACAAGACAAAAATGCGATTGATAGAAGAAATCGATGGAAGTTTTTTATATAAATAACAATATCATTTTTACATTATTTTATTTTTTCATTAAGAGTAAGTGCAAGTTCACTTTCAAATATTTTTTTTTTTTTTTTTTTTTATGTTAAGTATTTTCTTTATATAACGTTATTGATTTCATAAGGGGGATGGCATTATAATAAAAGTGAGGGAAAAACATAATACCAACAGTGCAACTAAAAGGTTTTTATAGCACAAGCATCTTCATAATGTGAAAAAGAGCAGAAACAATAAAGTATATCAAAGAAGCTGGAAGATATCATCATTACATTATTCGTGAATAAAAATAAAAACCGTCTTTATAAAATCAATTTCAGGCACAAACTGTGATCCTAATCCTTGCCTGAATGGTGGGACTTGTGATGAATCCACATCTCATACTGGAAGCGATTACAAATGTTACTGTCCGCAAGGCTTTTCTGGTGAAACATGTGAATGTAAGCATCTCGTTTGGAAATATTATGAGGAATGGTTTACTTTAATAAACATTAATGAATATTGAAATCTGGTTATATAAGAAACATTAACCAAAAAGATATTATTCATTTGAAAATATTCCTTTCATCACCTGCATACGGGTTTTATATCTCTTAATTGATTCGATACGCAAGAGCATGCTCTACGTATGCACAATTTCTAAAACGAGGTAAATTAGTGACAAATAAGTTGATGAAACAAGAATATCAGCTGTCTCGTTTAAAGTCATCATTTTGTAAGTTCTATGGTCGATACAATGACCTTGTCAGCAAATGCAATTTTTCATTGAATCAAATGCTGACTGACGTTTTTCATACTAATTGTTAGGCCATTATTTACACCCTGCATTGTCGACGGATTTTCCCGTTATTTCCGATCATGACAATGAGCACACGGCGGGTGTGACCGGTCGGTAGGGGATGCTCACTCCTCCATAGCACCTGATCCAAGTCTCTGATGTTTTGGAGGTCCGTATTTGTTCTGCACCTATTTTGTAATGTTTAATGGACTTTTGAGCTTGAATACTGTTCTTTATCTCCATATATTTTAGAATAAACACTAGGTTTAATTAGGTATATTTGCATACTCGCTGCTTTTTTCCTCTATGAACCTGTACTCACCCTTTGCATTCATAGCACTATGAATGCAACTTCTTCTGCTATGAGTGCAATTCGTTTCTTCACACTCACACAGTACAATCTACTACACTTATATAACGCGTTCAGAGGTATATATATATATATATATATATATATATATATAAAAGATAGCACAGAGTCTGGCACATTTGTCTCATATTTGGATATTTTACTTGAAATAGAGCCTATATCTTTAATTTGTTCGTTTCTTTTTTCGCTTATACTTGCAAAGAACGATAACTCTTTACGCTAGGATGTTTTACGTTCAGACAAAGCGATTTTTTTTTTTTTTTTTTTTTTTTTTTTTTTTTTTTTTTTTTTTGTAAAAGTATGTATAGTTCAAGAACGATTTTACCTCATAAAATGAATTTTAAGACCTTAAAATACATATGAAAAACATTCTTTAGTTAAAATCAATATAAAAGCATTCTCTTTTTTTTCATTATTGTGTTAATAGTATTTTTTTTTGCTCAGAGAGTTTTGAACAATACTTTGAACGATGACACAATGTCATCAAAAAAAAAAATTAGAATATGAAGACAGCGCAGTTTGTATCCAGATAACTGTGTTTAAGAAGCAGATACATGTATATTGTGTGTGATTTATTGAAATAAGGTGGATTAATCAGGTCTACTGATTTCATTGTCATGTTTTTTTTTTTTTTTTTTTTTTTTTTTTTTTTTTTACTGAAGACAGGCACCCTTGACATTATGCATGCCAGGATTTCCTCTGATATTCTTGATAACATTACAGAATGCAAATATAAGTAATAAAAAACGATTATTCAGTGAATATGGCATTATGAATAGCAATTGCTATGCTGGCATATTTTCCATGATGCGATTGCGCACATCACGGAATATGCCAGCATAGCAATCGTTATTCATATCGACATATTCACTGATAACGTTGTTTATTTCTTAAATACAGGTGAAGAAATTGTTATGGATTTATTGAGAATTATTAAGACGTAATTTTTCGTCTCTCTAGTTGATGTATGTGACAGTCATGATTGTCAGAATGGAACCTGTGAGGCAGACGAGTCCAATCTAAGAGGTTACAGGTGCAATTGTGTCACTGGTTATATCGGGAACAATTGCGATGGTAAACTTAAGATATTTTTTTTCAGTGCTACTCAGCTATTTTGAACTGACATCATCGTCCAAAATAATGTATATCAAAATTGTATGAATCAAGTTTACATTTTTATTGCTTTGCAGATATTATTAGCACTCTCAGTACATTTTTTTTTTTTTTTTTTTTTTTTTTTGAAAAAAAAAAACATAATTTCAATATTAAATTATATAGTTGATGTGTGTGATGATCATGATTGTCGGAATGGAGACTGTGAAGCAGACCAGTCCAGTATACGAGGTTACAGGTGTAAATGTGTCACTGGTTATATCGGGGATAATTGTGAAGGTAAACTGTCTAGTTCTTACTGTGCAGGATCGTTTTAAACTTTCAGTAATATCCAAAATGGAGCATATTATTATTATTATTATTTTGCAAGGGACATGAGATCTTTTGATATGTTCATATGAAAAGCATAATTTAATATTCGTTTTTATAGTTGATGTATGTGGCAGCAATGTTTGCCAGAATGGAGGTAGCTGTGAGGCAGACAAATCTCAAGTACGAGGATTCACCTGTATCTGTATCAATGATTATGTTGGCGACAATTGTGAAGGTAAATTGTGAAACACGATTTCATCGAACAAAATGTGTAGAAGTGACGATATCGTAAGTGATATATATTTAGTTTAAGAAATACCAAATTTAACAACTATTATCATTTTGATGACAAGAAAACGAAAGTTGGCAATTAACCTGCAATGTAAAGAAACTTTAAATTCGTCCGTCAATCTCCAAAAAATGTTCATTTTCCTCACTTTGAAATAAAAACCCAATTTTCAATTTTTATGTCATGATTAACATTACCTTTGTTTAATGTCCAACTGACAGCAGCTAAACTAAAAAGAAAATGTGTCTTATTAAATATAAACAACAAAAAAGAAGTCTACTGAAGTAACTGAGAATTAAATATTTTAAAAAATCCAATCAACTTAACCTGCGAAATTTTATTTAAAAAAAAAAATGCATGCAATATGGACTTCCAAACTAGTTTAAATTCAACCCAACAATGAATTGCATTTAATGTATTTAAAAAAAGTGCTTTTCGTAATACCCATACAATTTATATCCCTCTCCCCCTGACTTCTTCATTATGTCTCAAACTGTAAATCATGCATTCTTATTCTGATTCTGTTATAGTTCTTCCTGTTGACTGTAAAGACCTCCATAATTATGGTCACATTAATTCAGGTGTCTACATTATTTATCCGTTTGGAGAAATCCTCAGTCCTCTTGGAGTTTACTGCGACATGGAGACATTGAACGGAGGATGGACGGTATTTTTTTTCGAAATATTGTTATAATATACCCATCTGTGAATCAACCTATTTTACTGTTGATTTCACGCAATCACATGACGGTGTGATCTGACTTTCCAGATCACCACATTGTGATATTCTTAATCCAATATCCCCTCTCTGAAACCGATGTCGTTGTACATCGTACGCATGACGGTTTTTTTTTTTCTTTGATATGAAATGGTTCCTCGAAAAAAAGGTTTTGTTTAATGGATAAAAGTTGTATTATTGACACCAAAAGTTTTCTTTTATTTTAGTTTACTAATTATAGAGGGGTATAAAATAAATTTATTATTATTACAGTAACTTGACCGGGAGAGCCGTAGCACGTCTCGTTGATAGACGCTCTGCGTCTTGTTTGATCTAATGATCAACGCCTGTCAACTCGACATCATACAGCACTTTGTATCAAGTTACTATTAAAATAATATGTATGTAGACCTAGTGTATCTTCCAACATATAAGATTAATATTTATAAACAGGTGCCACAGGCAAGTCTTTTTTTCTCTTTTTATTATTATTATTATTATTATTAATGCTGACTGACGTTTTTCTTACTGATTGGCATTATTTACACATTGAATTGTCGACAGTTTTTTTCCCGTTATTTCCGATCATGACAAGGAGCACACGGCGGGTGTGACCGGTCGGCAGGGGATGCTCACTCCTTCATGACACCTGATCTCACCTCTGATGTTTTGGAGGTCCGTGTTTGCCCTGCTCCTATTTTGTATTGTTTAGTGAACTTTTGATCTTGAATACTGTTGGTAATCTCCATATATTTCTTGTAAACTTTAAAAGTTTCAAAAATTTAAAAGTTTCTGCATACATTGATTATTCAATGTGTAAAATTCACAATACATATGAGATAAATAAGAATGTGTATTTTCGTGCTTCGCCTGATCTGCAGGAGACATTAATCATTACTTTTTTACTATGCTACTGTTGGTTGCAATAATAATTTATAAAAGCTCATCTTTCAAAGGTAATCCAGAAACGTGTGGATGGATCCACAAGCTTTGATAAACTATGGTCAGAATATAAAGAGGGCTTTGGTTCACCGGAACAGAATGTCTGGATCGGTATATATCATATTCATGATAATAATAACTTTGATCCCATTTTAAATTTGACATAAGATTTTTATATATCTTTTTTTTTTTTTTAAATTTAAGTAAAGATCCCATTTGAAGGAAAGCTGATTTACATTCGGCAATATTCATTTCAATAGTTTTGTTTATCAATGTATTATTCATTACAAGTATAGGGAAACTAAAGAAACAGGGAAAAACGATTCAAATGAAAGGGGAAAAAAAATCTTCATCTTCCAAAATTATTTGTTAACAAAACAACATTATGATTCAAGACACAAGTTGATATTAAAAATATGATAAAAGTTTTCATTGTAAATATCTATAAAGTCTCTGGAGACAATTTATTCAAACAATTGGTTGTCATCTCATTGAGAACTAACTGTGATCTATTACTGTCTGACTTGTTTATATATATATATATATATATATATATATATATATATATATATATATATATATATATATATATATATATTTTTTTTTTTTTTTTTTTTTTTTTTTTTTGTGAAGCAGAGTATATTCAATCGATCTATATTTATACGTAATTCATGTGTCCTTATTGATGACCTCTTACACGTTCTTGAAGAGCTATCTCCTTTTGATTTTAATCAATAAAAAATAGAAAATTCAATCAATCAAAAATTCATTTCAAATAAGCAAATACATCTTTCCACAGCAATACTGATTGGTATTCTTGATATTTTATTTTTTTTATCAATTTGCTTTTCCTAATAGAGATTTTAATGCAATCTCTACTGATTAATTACAGCTTAGATAAATTTAGGTAAATGTATTAAGAAGAAAGGATATATTTATTAAAGCAATATTAAATGCATTACACTTATTCATCATTTTCAAATATAATATTTTTGTGCAAATTAGTCGAATCTGATTCGTCGAGAAACATTTGTTAAAAAAACACTATTACCCGCTGAATATGAAGCCATCCCTCCAGCGTCGCAACAGTCAACATTGCTTGACGACGGGTGATATTCCAATATATATATATATATATATATATATATATATATATATATATATATATATATATATATATATATATATATATATATATATATATATATATATATATATATATATATATATCTATTGACTGCGCAGAATTTATGCGCGCAAGGTTCACTGTAATATGTATTTGTATATAACATTGAAAATGTTCGGTTGACAATGGTTTTCTTGGTGTGAAAATTTTCCATGTTACACTAAACTACATGCAATATTTATATATTATGACTCTTTACAGGAAATGACGTGATCCACCAATTAACAAAGGGAAATGGCTCATCTCTCTACGTTTCCATCACACAAGTGAGCGGCACAACTCTGTATGAGTTGTACGGTCGATTCTCTATCGCTAATGAAGCAGAGAAGTATAGACTTTTTCTGGCGGGAAATGTGACTGGAACCTTAGGTAGGACACAGCTAGAAATTGTACCTCAAAACAAGAGAATTAACAGAGGACGGTACTGTTACTACATATTCATGGCAATGCTCTGTACGTTATGTCTAACAGTATTACCCTAAAAAATATTACAGTTAACTATAGTGATAACTTTGACACTTGAAAAATACAGTAAACTTTAGTGATAACTTTGACACTTCGATTTAGTATAGTTAACTATAGTTTTATTTTGTTCGAGTATTGACAGTTAAAACGAATCTATCTGAATTTTGCATGTAAAAGTGTTTTTTTCTTTATTATTATTATTATTTTGCAGGTGACAGTATGTTAAATACTATTGATCCTGATGAACATGATCTATCTGGGATGTATTTTAGTACTCATGATAACAATAACGACTTGAGTGGTGGATTTAACTGTGCCGCTGAGGCAGGAGGAGGATGGTGGTTCAGAGATTGTTATTCCGCCTTCCTCAATGGCCTCTGGTCTTCCACAGCTTGGGCGAATCCTTGGGCTCCCACTATACGGTCTGGGACCTCTGTGAGCAAGACTCTGATGATGATCAAACGCCATTAGGAATACTATTTAATCTAGAGGCAAATTATTTTTTTTTCAAATGATGTCATGTACATTTTTTTTCATATCTTTTGATATGTTTTAAACACTGGGTGTCGATGGGTTGAATTGATAATTTTTTTTTTCTTAATTCGGATCTAATTCTTTATACTTAACGAAGCAGGATTCTTTGGAAGTTTTTAAAACAAACCAGTAATCATATCATTCTAAAAAAAAGATTTGTTTTTTTTTCTGCACGTATAGAGTGGTTAGAACGTTTGTGAGTGAGAGGTGGATTTAGTAATATTTTTACAGTGAAAAATGTATCTAACAATTAAACAAAATGAAATAAAAATATTTTGCAGGTATTAAAGAGGCCATTAACTTGGATGCAATGCTTTTTTTTAAAAATGATTTTATTCATATTTTATTCTTACATTTCCTATGTCACTGACACTGCTATATATTTGTATGCTGTAACTTTGGAGAATAATGCAAGGGTCCTAATAAATCGATCTAGTGCAAGGACATACACTCAATGGATCATATTAAACTTTTATACATAAACTCTAGAACTATTTAATAGCTATTTGAAGAGTGCTGCTATCCTGGTGAAATATTGATGGCCAATTATTTCTTTAAAAAAAACTGACAAGCATAAAATTCAGCATGTTGTCCGACAAATTTGACTTTAACAATGAAATATTAGAATCTATAAAGAATCGCAGCACTTTTACAAAGTACAATGGGTGTTGAAAAGATTTATAAAAATAAAACTTGGAACTTTAACTAGAATATGCCATTGCGTTATTGAAATTCAAAGGTGACCACAATACTGTACTGCAAGTATATGTCGTAAAACCGCGTGACTGCCACGTCACGTACGAATCTTAATAAAAAAAAATCTAACGTCCTCAATATGTAGTTAATAACCATAGTAACATGTGTCCGATGTTAGTAAAGTACTACGAAATCACTATCTTGATAACGAATGTATTTCATCACAAAAATCGCCGATTTTTTTTGTACTACGTCTAAAGTGTGCAATTGTCCATTGGAGAATTGCACACATTAACCGTAGTAAAAATCGAAGTACAATAAGATATGCTGTCTGGTTCAAGAAAATGGTTTTACAACAAAGCTGATGTATTCTTTTCAAGTTGTCGCTGATCATCTAACAAATGGTATAATCCTTCACAATGGAGAAAATTAAACGTTTATAATACAGAAAGTACTAATTCCGTTTCCTTTCTTTTCCGATAATTTCAAAATATATTCCAATGCCTTCTTTTTGTTTCTAATTTTTGGACTCTCTAATTGATAAAAGTATTTTTGATTTTTTTTTCTGTCAGAGAGCATTTTATTCCTGTAAAACTATTTTTAATATAAATTAAATCAAATTTAGTTTTTATCGCCACATATATAAACACTTGACATCGGATGTACTTGGCACATTGATCATAGGTATTCTATATGTTTCGTGTTTAATGCCCTGTTCAGAGATTTGTATAGTTTGTAGACTTTTAGAGATTGATTATTGTTCGTTATATTCACGTATCTCAGGTATCAAGAAAAAAGGTGAGGATAATAAGATGAAGAAACTCACAAACCCTCAGGACATTGGAGATAAAAGCTATTGGGTCAGGTGCGTAGAAGAGTAAGCATCGGCTGTCATTATCATATCCAACCCTGCTGAACCCACTGTTTGATAAAAGGAATGCAGCATTTGGTCATAGAATCTATGAAATACTTAATTTTAACGAGACAATTCAAACTCACTATAAAATAAAATAATCTGTTAGTTGCTCAACTAGGTTGAGTACCCATTCAAGATAGATATCAGAGTTTACAGCTGTTAATGCATTATTCCTGCAAAAAGAATGCTGAGGTCATCTTGTTTTTTAAACAATTTACCATAAAAAGTTTTTTATTCGATATATATCCGACAAATATCCAGAAGTATTGTGTATTGCTTCTTTTTATCAATGGTATTGGCGGGAAAGGCTTTTGTAGCAATCAGAATTAACAAACCTCTTATCAATCAATAAGTATTACTGTCTGTTTAGCAAGAAACCAAATTCAGTTTTTTTGGAATTTGCGCAGTAGATTTTCAGAGCATCTATATTTAATGTTTGAACAGAATTCAATAAATTACAGAATTATAGATATAATGAATTTATTCCACCGTGCTTTGTGTACAGGAATGGCATGTTTATCCCTGATTACCCAAATTTTGTCACTTTAAGCAAAAAAAAAGAAAAAGAAAAAAAAAAAGGTTTTCTTCCTAAATTAATTTTTGATTTGTTTTTTGCTTGCAACATTAGATACGACCTTTTACATTCTTTTATTAATTTGAACGAATATGAGTTGCAGGGCTTGTATATTTATCAGGGTGTCCTAAAATATATGATAACATTTGGCATAACTGCAAAGTAGCACATGCTTTGCTCAATTGCTTTGATTTTGTTCTCATTCAATAGTTGATTACAATTTTATAAAAGCAAAATATTGCGGGAAAATCTCTGAATGGATTGAAATTGTGATGTCCCAAAATTACATCAATATGTTGCTAAAATGACTTTCACTAAAAATGGATTTACGAAAAGAGCGATGAACACTCATTTTAAAACTGTAGTGCTAAATTCTATCGCCAGTTACAGCTATGAGAATACGTACAAGAGATTTTGCTTAAGAAAAACGAATCATTAAACAGCAAATTTTAAGAATAATACAGAAGTTTGAGAAAACAGGATCCATTCAAGACAAGATACGCAACACTGGCGGTAGATCAAATTTAGAGAGGACTCAAGAGACAATTCAATAGGTACAACGGGTCATGGAAGAAACATTACGCATATCTATCAAGAAAGTTATAAGTGATATTAGTAACACTATGCCATGTAGTAAATCTAGTGTTTCACAGAATTTTACGATTGAACAATACTTAAACCCTTATCGAATATCTTTAATGCCGGATCTTAAAATATATACCAAAAACAAAGTTTATAGGATTTCACCATTAAAGGTTAAATCCATTTATCAAAGGGAAAAACTATTAATTTTTATATAAATAGGGTGTGTTGGGATTGTTTATTTTGGTCCTGCGTCAATTAGTCTTCACCTCATCACATTTTCCTTACGTCATAAGTGCACAGATTCATCATCAGTCGAAGCAGACGTTTTCAAAGGTAAGGACGGAATTTTACAGTGGTGTGAATTTTCGATTGTTTTTAGCTAATACCTTTACTTTTTGTCAAGAAATTGTTGTAATAAAATGTTAAATGCTCTTTTATGGCATATGTATCCAAATTTAATCATCGATGCTAACAAATTTCGTAGATATTTGTTGATTTTAACAGGCACTCATGTACACGTGCATTCAAAGTTCAGTAGTCATATTACATTAAAGTTTGATAACAACCCATGGTTAACAGATTTTCTCTTTGGTTATATTTCGAGATTCGAAATGCCTAAGCGGAAGACGGCGAGTCAGACCCAGGCTCAGCCACGGAAACGAACAGGGAGACGAGAGCCTCGTCTGGAGACAACTTCCGAAGTACCTCCATCGGCGAGAATCACGGACGGAACAGTCCAGCCTATCAATTGCCCTTCTGATGTACAGGCTACTGCACCCACGATAATGCCTACCAACGTTATGCCACCCTACCAACTTTAGGATCTGGCTCAACGCATTTCCACAATTTTGTCTGAGCGAGAAGACCCAGCCCAACCTCAGGGGACAGAAGGTATTCCTTCATCCAATGCGAACATAAGAGTTTCTAGTTATGATAATGATTTGGGGCATAATGTATCCAACAATATTAAACTCATATTGCCAATGGCGAATATGTTAATTTAGCTTCATTAATCAACAATAAGCTCGAAACTGACCCCCATGATGATACTAGATATTTCTCACTGCAAAATGGCAATTTGGCTTTATCATCAAAATCTAAATTAAAACCCATTACTGACATCCAAATGTAGACATATGCATTTCTTGTCTATGCAGCCATTTATGTGCTGGCTCGTCCCATGGAAAACGCTGCTCTGTTTAAATATATCCACACAATACGTCTCGGGGCAGGCCGGGTTAATGGCCTGGGTTGGCGGGACTATGACATTCAATTCAGATTGAAGAAAGAGTGCAACCCGTCAATGTCATTTGCGTCAGTTGATCAGGAGCTTTGGCTCCTTTACATGTATAACAATGCCCTTCACCGACAGCCTGCTATTCAGCCATCCCAACCCTTAAAGTGTTATGATTTCAACTACAAGGGTTATTGTTCAAGGCAAAACTGCCAATATAGGCACTGGTGCATTTTATGTTCACAACCCCATCCCTTTACAATGTGTAGAACCACTACTAGAAATTCATTAAATTTTAGATCTGGGAACTCTCAGTCAACCCGGCGTGCTCAATCAACAGTCAAGCCAGCTACTAGCAGTTTCAGAACCCCCTCCTCAACACCAGTTAGACATCAGTAGTATTGCTTACAGTCCAATCAAGACTTCAGTTTTATCAGATTGTTTGACTAATTATCCTGACACAGAAAATGCACATGAACTATTGCAAGGGTTTCAATTTGGTTTTAAATTAAATTACCAAGGTCCTAGACAGCCATACAACTGTAAAAATCTTAAGTCTTTGAGTTCACTTACTACAGAAGCCATACAATTAGTCAATAAAGAAATAAGTTTAGGTCGGGTTGCTGGCCCATTTTTCTGCCCTCCATTTCTCAACCTAAGACTGTCCCCCATAGGTATGGTACCTAAAAAAGATGGTACATTTCGTCTTATTCATCATTTGTCCCACCCATTTGGTGATAGTGTGAATGACTTCATTGATCCTCAGTATTGTTCAGTTAAATACACATCATTTGATGAAGCTTTGAGAATGTTGAAAAAGTTAGGTCCAGGAACTTTTATGGCTCGTTTAGACATTAAGAATGCTTTCCGTTTGCTACCAGTTTTTCCCTTTGATTTTGAGTTGCTAGGGTACAAAATCAACAGCAGTATTTATATCGACAAGTGTATGCCATTTGG